TGCGGAAAGGTTTAACACTGATGGCCTGTTCTGTTTTCTCTCTCGTCCTCCTCTCTTTCTGCATCCCTCGTGGTGTTGGTGGTGTTGGCATTGGTTATGTTTGTGTGATCGCGTACTTGTGTGCGCACGCTTCTGACTGTTTTCGCCTGTTTGTGATTGGCTTTCGTGATGTCATTTGTGACTTGACTTCGCTGGTGTGCGTCTGTCATTTTGTGGTTTGCCTTGCCATTGTGTGTGTGTGTGTTTATATTTGTTTGCGTGCCTGTGTGTTGTTCTGTGGTTGCCTCTCCCTGGTCAGTATTTTTATTTTCAGGAAGTGATTCCGGTGCTGGGGGCCAAGCACTGCATCATGCAGGCCAACGCCGAGTTGTACCAGAGCCTTGTGGCCAAGCAGAAGAAGCGTTTTGGAGAGGAGATTGCTCGCCTGCAGGTACGCAGCTTTCACAATTGTTTTGTCTTTCTGCAAATCATCTGTCACATTTTCAGCTAATGTGGCCAGTCATTTATCATCATTTGTGTAGACTTCAAGTAACAATTTCACTGTGACATTCTATATCTAAAACAAACAGTTGACTCATTAAGCAATTTCTTTCCCTCCAGCACGCAAAAGAGCTGGTGAAGACCCCTTATGATGAGTACGTGAGCGTTAAAGACCTGACAGACAAGATCAACCGAGCGCTCACCGCTGCCAAAAAAGACAATGACTTTATCTATCATGACCGTATTCCTGACGTCAAGGATCTGGAGCATATCGGCAAGGCAACATTGGTCAAACCCACTGCCATCACACCGCCACTCAGCCAGAAATTCACAGGTATGATACACTGACATGAAACAGTTTCCCATTGTCATGACGAACTGACAGACATAAAACTAAAGCCGTTTTTAGACACGACCTACAGGTAAAATCCGTAGCAGCAGACAGAGGCAGGAAGTGACGTATTGACCCCACTCTGGGGATCTCTTGATTTTCTTGACAAACACACAGACACTGGTGTCATCTCTCATCACCACAAAATCTCTTTTGTCACTCTTGTGTTTCTGGTAATTGGCTACTTTTTCCTCCTCAGACTTGTTTGAGAAGATGGTTCCCATGGCGGTGCAGCATTCCATGAGCATTTACAACCAGAGGAAGGCTGAGACTGTGAACAGACTGGTGGGAGCAATGAGGGAGTCGACCAACCTCTGCAACGGGTATGTCGTCCTGTGTGACACAAAGCAGCGTTACCAGGAAGTTATAAATAATTTACAGGAACGGTGTGTGCAGCAGGCTTGGCATTACAGAAAAAGAGTGCTGCAACAGTTCATAAGGTCATATAACTTAAATCGTCTTGATTGTAGTGTATTGCTAGAAAAAATAGAAAACCTTGAATTAACTGCGTTAGCTACATTAAATCTAAAGGTGTATACATTCATTACTTATATACACAATTGTAAAGAGACTACTGTTGTCTGGAGAAAAGAAAGATAAATGCATAATTGAATTGTGGAATTTAAAATGTCACAGTTATGGTAAAGGCGTCATGAGACAATGTCCCATGGGAGGTGTATGTGAGTGTGTGTGTATTAGTGGTTGGTTCCGCGCAGCGCTCCCATTAGGCCATCCATCCCATTAGAAAATAACAAACCATCCACTGATGACATGGATGTCAGAGGTCTGTAGGTCAGGTTGATAAGCGCTTTGAGGGTCGTGTGGGTATGTAAAAAAAAAAAAAAAAA